AAAAAAAGAAATCGCGACACTGAACGCACCCTGTTCATCGGGGCACCTCAATGTGTGGGAGCCGCTTTTTGAAGCCTCTACCGCAGGTCCTGAAGAAATGAAATTACGACAATGTGTCAGTAAGAGGCTTAAAATAACACAAACTGAAGCTCATCCGCACCTTGCAGTGCAGCTTCTGCAGCAATGTCACAGTCACTACTTGAAGCGACGCTCAGAGAACCTGCATATATGTGCAGTTGGTACAAGTTACAAAGCTTGTAGCATGGGGAAACTTAAACAGCTCTTTCAAACGCATAAATTGGTCGAACGTGGAAGAAAAGAGACAGCACCTACTAGGAAACAAGTAATTTGTGATTTTTGGAATTATCAACAGTGGCAGCTTTCACTGATGAAAGGTATGCGTACATGTGCACTCAGGCTTGAAGATAACGTGAAATAGCCCTTTAAAGTCTTTCAAAACAAGTTGCGCAGGTCCAGAGCATCAAAAAATGACAGAAATGTAAAGCTGCCGTTAGGAAGGTAATAGCCCACAATTCACAGAATTTAAGACTTTCCAAGTGTTACTTCTGTAGTGAGGTTTCTCTATCGGCTACAAAGATCTTCACGGTTAACTGTCGCCACTGATTCAATACAAGTGGCTGCTATTGCACATATTTGAGTTTCAGTCAATCACTTACATGGTGCAGCTGGTTGCACACTGGGAACAGCCATTCTTGTAAGCCTTGTGTGCCCAGGGTCCATGAAACTTTGAGCAGTAAAATGGTCGCTACAAACCCTGTACGTTGCGTACAATAGGCTGGCCGGCTTACTCAGGAGATCATCGCGTCCAGCATACTGCATCCATGCTTTCATCCTGCATTGGCAATGAACTATCAGCTGAAAGGGGAAGTGCTTGAATAGTGATTTTTTATTGTCACCCTCACTTAGCAAGTACGAACAGTAAGCCTACAGAAATGCAAACCATACAAAAGCTTTAACACACCTGCCGTCTCGTGGTACGCGGAAGAGACTCGTCCCAGACTCGTCCCAGGCTTCTTGTGGGTTCTGCCATTGTTGAAGCACCACGATACACAGCAGTAGCTGCCGTAGCTTGGACCGCCGGACGGCATGGCGTCAGCGCGGTCTGAAAATGTTAGTAAGTGGATGCTTCGCTGTCAAATTACAAAAAAGATATGTGCACGTCATAAGTGTACCAGCAAACCCCTTTGAATGATTAGCTAATCGATGCACAATACAAAACCAGTGATACATCTCTGACCCATAAAACTCTGACTTACAAAGATATACGTCAAGACCACGAACAAAGATCTTCAGAAGTTTCCAGGCCGCTATCCCTTGTAATGCAATGGTATCGCGGCCTGGGAACATTAGAACACCTTCGTGCGTACGCAGTATCAGCAGTACATTGGGAAGAAAAATCGTAGTTGAAATTTGTGCGGTAAAATTATATTGGAAACGTCAAAAAAATTTGTGGGCAGCTTGCACTAGTGGCACAAGGCTAGCGAAGAAACGAAGATGATGGCCACTTGGCTAGTCCAGATTTGCCTCCGGCACACCAAGAATTATTCGTGTTCCGAGCCTTCGGGAAATGCGTCGTGAAGCATGCGAGGCCCAACAAACGCTTCTCAATATTTTGCACCGAGCCTACGACCTAGCTGCCCAGCTATGCTCAGCGCACAGACGCTCGCGTCCGTGGCAGACGCAGCACGCGTCGCCTCGGCTTGACGCCGTGCCGCCTTTTCTATACTGCATACGTTGCACAATGTTCCCGTCTAACCGCCGCATAGAGCCACAAACTTTCTTTTTAGCGAACCTCTCAGTCCTTACAAGCTTCAGAAAAAGGTTACAACTGCGTGAATGACACGCCACGTAAGAAACAAACTCGCACACACGAAGCGCAACGTGTGTGTGTGCATCTTTCTATGTTTGTTGCATGGTGTCTTTTTCGCGCAGGCGTAACCGTTTTCTGAAAAAATGACCCAACAAGACCAACAACATGTCATTCAACAAGCTTCGCTTGAAAACGTGACTCACCTGTTATCTCACGCTTGAAAACGCCGACGCAGCCGGCGTTGACGAAAGCGACGAAAGCTTCTCGCTGTCAGTCATGCATGGGCTTGTCGCTGGGTAGATGGTGTTTATGACAGTACGGCTGAAGAAAAATAATCGCGTAAGGTGTGTTGAATAAATCGTTCTTATGTATAAAGAACATACCAAATTTGGGCGTGTAATTATTAATTTGTGAAAACAATTCTGTTGCATTGATTATAACTGTGTTTTTTTTTTGCGCTTGCGCCCTCTGACGTGTGGTGGGAGCACTAGTTCGTTACGTAGTCGTGACGCACTTCCTGAGGCCAGGTTTCGCGGAGTGTCCGCTCTTGTCTTCTTCTTTCTCTATGACTACATGGCGGCTGAAATAAGTCCTCACCCCTGACTGAGACGCTGCTGACTGAAGTGTACATCGTAGTGTTCGCTATTGACCCACCCAACCACTTGGCACATTGCCAGCGAGAAAGTCGAGTCGACTCGGACCTACAAGACGCGTTCTTGTTTGGTCGACGCGATCTCCTGTTCTGTGTTTCGTCGAATTCGTGACTTCGTTGCTCCGCGACATCCATGGGATTGTTATCGAGGCCTGCGCGAAGGTTGACATCGCGTCGAATCGCGTGAGTATGCTCTGCGATTAAGCCCTTGATTGTCTTTACAGTCAGATAAGCTTTAGCTTTTCTCTTCTCTTTCTGTAGCATACCTTGTTTTTTTTTTACATTTTCACTTTCTATATGGGTTGTCAGAGTTGTAGCGGTTTAAGAAAGTTTAAGATGATATAAATTTTATATCGAACCTTTATGCGATGGTTTTACCGGTACGTCTTCGCCTGCAACCGACAGGATTGACGTGTGCGCACCTTTTTTTGTTTATCATTATTATTTTTCAGGTAATAAACTGCTTTGAACGATGACGTAGATCAATGTCGGTCGGGCTGCTCCGCACTATTTGTGAATAACGATAACTTTCTGTTCCTTTGTTCCTGTTTTTATAATTTTTTTTGTCTGGAAAGACTGTTCCTATTTTGCAATCTCTGAATGACGCTGTCAAAGTTTGTTCATTTGTATTCTTATACACTGAAAGTTTGTGAACTAATGATACTAAGCATAGTTTGCCCATTTGTATTCTTATACACTGAAAGTTTGTGAACTAATGATACTAAGGATAATGTATTCCACCCGGCACCTCGTCTTAAGTGCGGTGGTTTTTGTACGTGAAGCCACGTGGGATGGAGAGCAGCAGTGGCTGGTGAAAAGCATTTTAGCTGTTATATTTGCAGCAATACTATTTACTGCTGCTGCTGCTACTGCTACTACAAGTATAGTAATGGTACTAAACTTGACAGTGCCTAATATAGATGAAGTGATGAAAGCGAGACCGTCACGTAGAAAGTCCCTCGCGTTTTTCTTTCACTTTTTTCTTAGCTTTCTGTTCTCATGCAGTTGCATTAAGCCCGGATTAGTAACCTGGTTTACATGTGTGTGTGTGTTGTGATTACCACGCCTCGTCATCTCATAGCGTACAAATAATCTTTTCAGCAGTTTCGCGCTGGGGTCCAACGACAATTGACGAGGGTCGTTTCCGTCACGGAAGTGACGTCATTTTGTGCGCGGGTGTTGTTGCATGTACTCATGCAATGTTTTTCTATACGATTTACTGGTTTCTTTTTTCCTGTACACAAAACGGCTGCATATGTGTTACCTCTACGCGATCTATCTGTTGCAGAATCCGTTTTCAGAGGCAGCATGGTGTGCTGTGATGTATCAATGTCGTGTCGTCTAGAGAGACGCATCGATGCCGTATCGATGCGTCTCTTACTGAATTAAATTCGCAACGAGAGACTCGTTTATCGTTAACGAATCGAACGCATAAACGCACATAGTTCATCAGGTCTGCATTTGGCCACGCTGGCGAACAACTGTTCTCCCGCTGGGTATATTAATTACTTTATTTATCGGGAAGTATTCTTGCGAGTCTTTCGGTGAGTGCTGAGGCAGAGGAATGCATGCACTAATCGATCTGATACTGCTACTGTAGGGTCCCGATCGCGTCGCAAACCCTCTCCACGCCCTCCCAAACCGAAGTTCCACCTCGTTATTCGATATTCCCTCATCAAGATTGCACAAGCAGTCGTTCAAGTGTATGTACCCTGTCCTGTATCCATTCAATCCAACGGTGTCTGCTATTGGGTTGCTACGTGCATTCATTATTGGTGGCACCGATAGCCTATCGAATGAATGGAGCTTTCTCGTGTTCCACGGCGAATGGAAGCGATATTGGAACACCAGTGGCTTGTTTGTTTTTCATTAGCCCTTTCGGTCCCCGTGTGAGGTGGTGTACCTGCACGGAGACGAATCCTCCGTTTAGATGTGTCGACTGTTAGCGTCAATGTTTGTCAATTCCCTCAAGGCATAAACGTGGTGCACTAGATAAGAAAGTGTGAAGTACATTAGTAGAATATCAGTACGTTCGCGCGATGTTCATATGTGGAGAGCGCCAACACAAGGTGGGAATCGAATGTGAATTAAGATGAAACGGTGACGTGCTAATTAGTGAGCTCGTTTGAATAAATTGTAAATTTGCAGTTAATCTTGAAGGCGACTAATAGTAAATTAAAAGTGAATCAAATGTGAGCATACGTTTTCGCCTGTGTTGCCCTTAGGGTTTGTTAAAGGGTGTAACAATTTTTCGTAGCGAGACAGAAAGACACCCTACGTGCGCCTTGCTCTCTCATGGCGGGGTGTACAGTGTGTGTTTAACCATCCGGAAGAGGAGTAACATTTAGGCTTTACACCTTTGACGGCGTCTTCGGTGTATAAGCACCCACGTTTCTTTTTTTCGCGTCCCTTTGCACATGAACTCGTTAATTAACCAGAAGAGGAGTAATTCTCGATTGTAGACCTTTGAAGGGTGTTCTCCTTGCGTGACCAAACCCCTCGTTTGTTCTCTTCCAGATGAGCGGCAAGCGCACTCGGAGCTTTAAGATCGCCGTGCACCGCCGAGACGAGCGCGACATCTGGCAGCAGACGCGGACGGGAGCGGGCAACTACTGCCAGCGACACGGCAGCGTCAGCGCTGCCACCACTCCGGGAAGGGGATACTACGGTACGTCGCTCACGCTTCCCCCCCCTTTTTTTTTTTTACTCTCTTTTAGGTGTGAAGCGCCCTGAGGTCTCCGCTTGTCGGCGTCTAATGTCACGGTGTGTCATGTAGTCATAGTTCATCATAAGTAGTAAAATCATCGATTGAGTAAACCCCACTGCTTGCTATAACCACTAAAGTTCATCAACTGAGCGAACCCCACTACTTGCAACCGGTTGAATGAAAACGAAGAAGCTAACGGTAAGCCCGACAAAAAGTTCATAGCATTAGCGGAGCTAAAGAACTTTTCCCTATACACGACACGACATGAGGTCCCCGGTGCTCGCGCAAAACACGGTGACATCGCACATAGTGACGTCATTTCCGTGACGAACCACGTACGCTTGGCTAAAAAAAAAGCGACAAGATGGCTGGCGGAGCGTGGCGCCAATATGACGGTGTTGTTTTACTCGTATTTAGCTCACTGTAAGAGACTGCATAGTGTAATTTGCTCAATTTGCCGCGGCTACAGTAGTGCGTGCACTACGGCTTCGCCTCAGGCTGCGGTTCGTCTTCGTCGGCGGCCGACGACGAGGAAGACCCGTGGCGCCGCCCTGGCGCCGTGTCGAGAGGAGCCGACGGCTCTGTGTTCCGCACCATGGTGCGCGCCATTGCCACAGAGTTCCTGCCGGACGGCAGGGACCGCAAGTACTACGCCGACCACTACAGCTGCAGGCCGCCCCCGCTCTTCGTGTTCGTCGTCACGCTCATCGAGGTCAGTGCATCTATTGATTTACTGATTGACTTGTCGATTGATTTATTTACGAATTGATTGATTCATTCGTCCACTGGTTTATTTAGCGATTGACTGTGTGACATAATTATGGATTGATTAATTGGTTGATATATAGATGGATTGATTGATGGATTGCTTCATCGATTATATCTGAAGAACACCGTGCACCAAAAAAATTAAAAGATAACGAGGAGAGGGAACACACAAAGCGTTTTTTTTTCCTTTTTGTCTTCGTTTTTTTCCAGTGTGCCGTTTTCTTCAAATATAAACGCGCACAAACTCCCCCAACTTGTCATTTCGTTGCAGCATACTTCACCGATCGATTTGATTTATAGATCGGCTGACTGATTGATGGATCGGTTCATCGATTGATCGATGGACCAGTTGATTGGTTGACCGATTTATTGGTCTATTGGTCGATTGAGTGTATTTGTTTCAGGATGTGTTTTTGTATAGGCATGTTTCTTTGTTTCCTCCGTATTAGAGTCGCATTATTTGTAACTCTAACTATTATTCTACTCGTCTACAGGGGGCGCTCCTTTCAATGGTAAGCTGTACTTGCACGACGAACTAATTCACGATTTGAACGCGTGGAATGCGTACCGCGTCCCCATACGTCATCTATTTCGGCGTTTTCTCTTCGGTCCGCACGGAGCGATTGGTCCAACGACAGAGTCCCGAATCATGAATGGGATCCCCGGGGAGCCACGCTGAAATCGTGGCTTGTAGCGTGAATTCTCCTCGTTCGCGTGAATACTTGCTGCGGAGGGATCTGAATCACGTCGCACGAGTGGTTCGTTGGCGATCACTTCTGTCGCGCGCTCGACTGATGACCCGCACGCTGGTCGCGGAATCGAATGCCGCACGCAGCGGCCATAGAGTTTCTCAAAATTAACTAGAGGGCACTCTGTCACTGCGATCGTTCAGCTACCATGGGAATGATGGGTAGTACACACACTTGTCTAGTCTTCGTAATTGCGGGCGGCGAATCGTACTTGCGGCTTCGTTTATTGCTGTGTTTCGGTATTGTTTTGAAAGAAAGATTCAACCCTTTTGAACTTCCTGACCCAATTTAGAAAGGTAAGTCGAAAAAAAAAATAGGGTGGTGAAGCGCAATCGCTGAACATTTGCTGCTTTCTGTTTTGTGAGAAAAAAAAAAAGCTTTAAGCCACATGAACACACACGGAGCCAAAGGCAGGCCAGGAGTACGAAGATTAGACAAATGTGTGTACTACCCATCATTACCATGCTCGTTGAATCTCCGTGCGTTGCAGCTCCCATAGACACTAGCGCCAGAGTTCCCTCTAGTAAGTATTGTAGGAAACTCTGTGGCGGCGGCCGCACCTTCGATAGAGGCATAAAAACAAAAACTTGAGGACCGTGCACTTGGTGCACGTCAAAAAACTTCAGGTGGTCGAAATTTTCTCTCATAATCATATTGTGGTTTTGAGGCGTTAAACCCTAACAATTAATAATAATAATAATAATAATAATAATAATAATAATAATAATAATAATAATAATAATAGTCCCTACTGAGGCGATCCGTATGCGATGTCCAATAATTCCGTATGTTTCCGTAAGAATCTTACGGATATATATGGAAAATATATGGGAAAGATATGTATTCTTACGGAAACATGCGGAATAATTGGACATCGCATACGGAACGTTTCAGTAGGATTATTATTATTATTATTATTATTATTATTATTATTATTATTATTATTATTATTATTATTATTACACGTCCGTAGTGTAAAAACAGCTTTAAGCGAAATTGTGCCAAAGTTTCTATTGTTTCTCATCATCCTTAAATTGAGTTTCCCTTGAGACGCCGTCGTTCATAATCTTCGGTGTGGTTAAAGCCCACGCCCACTCCGACCTTATTTCTAAACCTTCTTAACGTTCTTCCTCCCCCCCCTCCCCTTCGGTATTCTATAAGCGCTCTGTTTACCCACCCACGAAGCCGCAGCTCTCGCTGGTTTTGCGTTACTCGCGTTCGCCCACGTGGTTTTCGTACGTGTGTACGCTCCGGTGACCTCTGCGAGCGTGGGACGAGGCAGCTCAGCGGGCGAGATCCGTGCGGCCTCGTCTCCGGCGTTCCTGTTTCGACGCCCACCACCACCACTATACACGCGTAGTATAGCCTATACCTGTACGGCTCCTCGGCAGCTGCAGTGCGTGGTCCACCATTGCGCAGAGACGGCGTGAATGGAAGAACGTCTAAACGTATACTACGCCGAGTGTTCGTATGCTTGACACACGCGCGCGCGCGCGCGTTATCGTTCGACGGAATTCCGGTTTCGCCCCTCGATCGCCGTCTGCAGTAGTACGTGGGTCCCCCCCTTTTTTTAGAAGTGACGCAACCAGCTTGCGAGTCCCAGGATCTCTTATACGTCGACTGGCGTTGTAAAGATAAGACTTGGGGCGTATGCAATGACGTCATATCTAAGTCGTAAACGCAGCCGAAGTGGTTGATTGGTCGAGTTTGGTATAACACATTTCGCGTATCAGCAGCGCAGAAAGAGAGTGTGTCAGCGAAATGAGGACAGCAGCGCTGATTTGCCCGAATCTGCGCTGCCATCTGTGCTTTTCTTTTTTGCTGATCCTCCGTCATTTTGCGGTGTTTTCGGGTGAAGTACGTCACATCTACGTCGTCGTACTGTAGTTTGGTCCAGCCCGTTGAACAGCTTCACGTAATTGACAAATATGATGCTCGGCATACGCCGCATGCGCTCCCTCGAGAGCGTACGTAGCGTGGAGCGTCCGGAGCGGTGCATGGAGCGTACGGAGCGGTGTATGCAGTGCGTACTGTTTATCGATTCCATATTTTTCGGTATTTACGGGTTTCGCTATGCCTCGTTGTCTCTTGCGAGGTGCCCCGCCATGGTGGTCTAGTGACTAAGGTACTCGGCTGCTGACCCGCAGGTCGCGGGATCGAATCCTGGCCGCGGCGGCTGCATTTTTGATGGAGGTGAATATGCTGTAGACCCGTGTGCTCATATTTGGGCGCACGTTAAGCAAAGAACCTTAGGTGGTCGAAATCTCCGGAGCCCTCCACTACGGCGCCTCTCATAATCATATGGTGGCTTTGTGACGTTAAACCCCACACAGCAATCAATCAATCTCTTGCGAGGTACTACACTTGAGTCGTTCCCGTTTCCACGGCCAGCACTTCTACGCGTAGCATGTACCAATAGCATCTAGTTCTTGGCGGCTGTATGCGTGGTTCAATCGCCGCGCAGTGACGGCGCGAATGGAGAAGCTATACACGTACTACGCCTAGCATATGTACGCTACAGACTTACAAACGACGCATGTGATATCGTTCGACAGAATCGCGGTTTCGCTTGTCGATCGTCCGCAGACATGCATGTATACGTGTGTGTATACCCCTCCCCCATCTGCCTCTTAGGCGCGTCGCTTCTACTTTTTTTAAGTCCCAGACTAACGACATTGATTGGCATTGAGACATGGATTGGGGCTGTACACCACAGCAGTTGTACTTACATCCCCGAGGTTTAGCGTCCGCTCCTAATGCCAGGTTCGAATCTCAGTGCCGGCCTGGAACCCGCCGGTGTTTCTTAACTGGCAGAGGAGTACACCGTCCCGGCGTTCAGTTGTTCACGGGTACTCATCCCTTAAAGTTGGCCCCATATTCATAAGGTCCCGTAAAGGCAATCTGTGTGCTTCGAGTAACACCGACGAAGACAATGCAGTGGAGTGGAGAGTTCGGAAAACGGCTGCAGCGTGTGCTCCCCATCTTGACATAATGATCGCGACTGGGCAAGATTTGCGGGGAATTCACGGTTTACCAATGTGTACCTCCGGAGGTTCGCCCGCTCATGATCATTCACTGCGTGAATATTCTGTGATTTTTCTTTAATATAGTGACGCCATGTCAGTCTTCATGCCGTAGTACGGATCGTGCACGTACTGGATGGTGTACACTGCATGTTCGTGCCCTTGGGAAGCACCCCATTATTCTCGAAAATATCCCCAGCATGACCTACCTCTCCGTACGTGTATTACGGACTATGCACACTGCATAGAAAGCACAATAAAAAGTACGCAGCGCGCATTGCACACCAGCTGTGGTCAACGCCTTTTTCTGCCCGAGTACCAAGGGTAAGCGAGTCAATGAACGGCCTGTTATTTGGTCAGCGGCACTCGCATCCGCTCGACAACAGTCGTGTCCTTGCAAAAACCTGTCGTACGGTCAAACTTTGCGGTATACGTAGTCGAGAGTACATACTGTACGCGTTGCGTACATAGCGTTGCGTACATAGTACATAGCGTTGCGTGCTGACTTGCCGGATGGCATAGCTGTTTGACCATCTGGGTGGACGTCCGGTTTTGCGTCGCAGCGTCCGCTCCCACCGGACGCTTCGTACGTGCAAACGCAAGCCAACGACTGCGATTGGCGTAAGCTGTGCCTATTTGTATTCGCTAGAACGCCGTCAGGCTAGGTTACAGCCGCATACAACCTAAGGAACAGAGTGATGGGCGAATTGGTGTAACGTACTCAACGAAAAAAAAAAAAAGCGCTGCGCGAAAGCTCGAGGGCGAGGAGGACACGTTTACGACGGACGAAAAACAACAAAGTAATAACGAGCGTCAGCTTCGCCCACATTCGTCGCTGTCCCTGTCACGTAGAACTAGCGCAAAACCACCACCCAATAGCGCTCTCTCAGTTTGTGACGTCATATACTGCTCGAGTGTTCCAGGTGGTCGACTTTCCCATGCAAACTCAAATGTGTGTCGCCGGTTTTCTGTCAGAAACTTTAAACGTCCTGGTAAGTTTCGTTGGGTATTCTGACATCACTGTTGAACCAACCGTAATATTTTACGTGGCAACGACGAACCTGTAACGTATAATAGGCTTAGCATTCACACCAGCTGATGCAAGATACTTACAGTTGGAACGTAAATGAGCAACTGCGACTGTCCTTCACGGGTTAAGAACAGGCGCGTCG